TAATTAGGAGACACTCCTTGAATTTTCAAATGACAGAGGGTTTTGTTCAGCTAAATTTGTTTGTTCAGTTTCCTGTGAGTTCCCCTTGGAGAACTTTTGGTGTAAATTAAATGTCAAGAAAGCAAGTGTTCCCTTGCCCCACTTATAGGTGCTATAAGATTACTTTGGAGCCACCACCAAATGTCACCAGACAGATGACATCTTTCCCGTTGAAAATGTAAAATATCTCCTGGTACTCTCAGGAGTTTGGTGCAGTGGCCTGTGGTGCCTGCACACAGTTTGGGAAGCACAGGTATACAGCCTTCCAACTTTTGTCCTATAGATAGATATGTGGAGATACATATATACATGCACAGATAATTTTTTGAGATCCTACTATACACAGTTTCATAAACTGCTTTAAAAAACTCAGATAGTAAAGCATATAGATTTTTCCATGTCATTAAATATTCTTCTATAATACTATTTTAAATATTATATCCTATGGCTGTATCAGGATTTATTAAACTACGCCTCTGTTTTCGAACATTTAGGAAGTTTCTACTTATTTTATTCCTGTTGTAAACAAGTTTTGATGACCATTCTGGTGCACAAATCTTTGCATTCACTCTGATTATTGAATTGAGGTCAATTTCTAGATGTAGGCTTGCTGACTCAAAGGGTGTGGATATTTCAGAATTTTGATAATTGTGCTCCAGAAAGGGTGTAACAATTTATATTTACTCCAGTCTCATATGTGAGTACATATTATAGACGTTTCATTTGATGGTAAAAGTTTTAGCATAAGTGATTATGAGTATAGATTCAGAAATTCTGGTATTTCAGACACCGTACTGAACACTTTCCCACACAAGTGTGTGTATGTGTACACACACACATATAATTTACATAACATCAGACTAAGTCTTCTTAACAGTGTTGTAAAGTTTAAATTATTACCCTCATATTACAGGTAAAAAAAAATAGGCCTCAGAAAGATGAAATAACTTTCTCCAAATCACACACCCAATAAATTGTAGGGCTGGGATTTAAAACCAGTCAGACTTATGATCTTATCACTGTATCACTGATGCCTCAGGGACTTGATTGCTTAACAATGATAATAATAATAATGTCTAATACTTATTACAAACTTTTTATGTATGAGGTGCTCTGTACATGTATTAACACATTCAGTCCTTATGCCAAACCTATGAGACAGCTACTATTATCTCTGAGGCATTGAAATCAGTAACTTGTCCAGGGTCACACAGCTAGTAAGTGGTAAAGCTAGGGTTCCAATCCAGGCAGTTTGGCTTCACAGTCTGTGTCATTAAAGACTAAAGGACGGCATGATAGCCTACAGAGTTGTGGGAGACTATAGCTCAGACTCTTATTAGAAATGCTTTTTTAAAAGGAAAGGAAAAATGGCTTAATTCTCTTAGATGAACAAAGGAGAGTTGCTGTATAACAAAACGTCTAGCCAGCAACTTGGCTGCAAATTTCCTGTCCCTATGCCTGAAGCCTTTCCTCCTACAGCAACAGAGCTTAATGCGTAAAACTGTGTTCTATTCTGAGGGATAACTTGCATGGAAAATCTTGTAATGAACTTGGTGACCTCAACTCAATTGAACAAATGAAACAGTTCAAAAGTTCCCCAAGGTACTTGGTATTTCTTTCTGCATTATCATTTGAAGGGCACACTTTCCAAAGTTTACATAAATAAGTGCGATCTAGAGTCCTCTTTTTGTTGATGTTTGTTGGGTTAATGAAGTACCTTCTTTCCTATCCATTATTTTAAGCCTTTTGCTTTGGTGGTGGTGGTGGTGGTTATTTGTTGCTGTTGAGTTAATTTCGACTTGTGGCAACCCCCTGGGTGCAGAGTTGAACTGCTCCATAGGGTTTTCAAGGCTGTCACCTTTCAAAAGCAGATTGCCAGGCATCTCCTTTGCGGTACCTTTGGGTGGGTTGCAACCAACCTTTTGGCCAAGAGTCAAGCACTTAACTGTTTATGCCATTTAGGGACTGTTGTTGTTGTTATGTGCCATGGAGTCGGCCCTGACTCATAGCGACCCCTCCTTGGGTTTCCAAGGCAATATCACTACAAAAGTAGATTGCCCAACCTTCCTTCTGAGGAGTGGCTGGTGGGTT